ATCTCTGAGATATATGAGACCCTGTGAAGAGACAAAATCTACAACTCATTGGTGTCCCTGAAGGAGATAGGGAGAGTGTATGCAACTTGGAAAACATATTTTAGGATATCACCCATGAGAACTTCTCCAACCTAGCTAGATAGGCCAACATTCAAATTCGGGAAATGCAGATAACTTCAGTAAGATAATTCACAAGAAGATGATCCCCAAGACACACAGTCATCAGATTCTTTACAGTTGAAATCAAAGAAAAAACTATGAAGGCAGCTAGAGAGAAAGATCAGGTAAGTTAACAAAAGGAAGTCCATAAGGCTAACAGGGGACCACTCAGCACAAATCCTACAAGCCAGAACGAATTGAGGGCCAATATTAAACATTCTTTATTTTATTTATTTGTTTATTTATTGAGACAGAGTCTTGCTGTGTCACCCAGGCTGAAGTGCAGTGGTGCAATCTCAGCTAACTACATCTGCCTCCCAGGTTCCAGCAATTATGCTGCCTCAGTCTCCTGAGTAGCTGGGATTACAGGATTACAGGCACATGCCACTATGCCTGGCTAATTTTTGTATTATTAGTAAAGACAGGATTTCACCATGTTGGTCAGGCTGGTCCTGAACTCCTGATCTCAGGTGATCCACCCACCTCAGCCTCCCAAAGTGCTGGGATTATAGGCATGAGCCACCATGCCCAGCCATTTGACATTCTTAAAGCAAAGAAATTCCAACCCAGCATTTCATATCTGGCCAAATTAAGCTTAATAAGTGAAGGAGAAATAAGATCCTTTTCAGACAAGCAATTGCCAAGGGAATTTATCACCAGACATGACTTAAAAGAGCTCCTAAAGGAAGCTCTAAATAGGAAAAGAAAGATCATTACCATTCACTAAACACATATACACACACACACTTTAAGTACACAGACCAGTGATACTATAAAGCAACTACACAAAAGACTCTGTATAATAATCACCTCACATCATGAAGGCAGTATCAAATGCACACATATCAATATTAACCTTGAATGTAAACAGGCTAAATGTCCTAATTAAAAGGCACAAAATGGCAGGCTAGATAAAGAAGCAAGAGACATTGGCAACCTGTCTTCCAGAGACCTATCTTACATACAATGACATCCACAGACTCAAAATAAAGGAATGGAGAAAAATCTACCAAGTAAATGGAAGACAGAAAAAAAATCAGAGTTGCAATCCTAATTTCAGACAAAAAAGATTTTAAACCAACAAAGATTTAAAAAGACAAAGAAGGACATTACATAATGGTAAAGAGTTCAACAAGAAGACCTAACTATCCTAAATATATACACACCCAACAGAGGAGTACCCAGATTCATAAAGCAAGTTCTTAGAGACTTTCAAAGAGACTTAGAATCCAACACAATAACAGTGGGAGACTTCACACCCTACTGACAGTATTAGACAGATTATCAAGGCAGAAAATTAATGAATATATTGAAAAACTGAATCCAGTACTGGATCCAATGGACCTGATAGAAATCTGCAGAACTCTCCAACCAAAAACAACAGACTATATGTCCTCATCACCTCATGGCACATACTCTAAAATCAATCACATAGTCAGACACAAAACACTCCTCAGAAAGTATAAAAGAACTGAAATCATAATAACTATTCTTTCAGACCACAGCACAATAAAATTAGGAATCAAGACTAAGAAAATTCTTCAAAACCATCCAATTACATGCGAACTGAATAACCAAATTTTTTTAAGAAATAATTTTTAAGAAATAATTAAATTTTTAAGAAATTTTAAAGAAATTTCTTAAGAATTTTTAAGAAATAATTAAATTAAAGTAGAAACCAAGAAGTTATTTGAAACTAATGAGAACAAAGATACAACAAACCAGAATCTCTGGGACACAGCTAAGACCGTCTTAAGAGGAAAATTATAGTGCTAACATGAAAAAGTTAGAAAGATCTCAAATTAACAACCTAACATCACAACTAGAAGAACTAGAGAAGCAAGAACAAAACAAAGCCAGCAGAAGACAAGAAATAATAAAAATCAGGACTCAATTGAAGGGGACAGACTGAGACATAAAAACCTTTTCAAAAGATCAATGAATCCAGGATTTTTTAAAATATAAATTAGAAAGGCTGCTAGTAAGACTAATAAAGAACGAAAGAGAGAAGATCTAAATAAACACAATTATAAACTACAAAGAGGATATTACTCTGACCTCACAGAAATGCAGATAACCATCAGAGAATATTATGAACAACTTTTCGTGCACACACATTAGAAAATCTAGATGAAATGGGAAAATTTTTGGATATATACACCCTCCCAAGACTGAGACAGGAAGAAATTGGATCCTTGAACAGACCAACAATGAGCTTCAAATTGAAGCAGTAATAAATAGCCTACAAAAAAAAAAAAGCCCAGAACCAGAACCAGATTGATTCAGAAGTTGAACTCTATCAGATATACAAAGAACACTTGAAAGTTGATAACCTTCCTACTGAAATTATTCCCGAAAATGGAAAGGACGGACCCCTCCCTAAGTCATTCTATGAAGTGAGCATCATCCTGATACCAAAACCTGGCAGAGACAAAACAGGAAAAGAAAAAAAAAAGACCAATATCCTTGATGAATATTGATGCAAAAATCCTCAACAAAATACTGTCAAATCAAGTCCAGCAGCACATCAAAAAGCTTATCCATCACATTCAAGTAGGCTTTATCCTTGGGATACAAGGTTGGTTCAACACATACAAATCAATAACTATGATTCACCATATAAACAGAACTAGAGACAAAAACTACATGATCTTAATAGATGCAGAAAAGTCTTTAGATAAAATTTAATATCTCTTCACATCCAAAACTCTCAATAAACTAGGCACTGAAGGAACATACCTCAAAATAATAAGAGCCATCTATGACAGTTCTGCAGACGGTATCACACTGAATGGGCAAAAGCTGAAAGCATTCCCTGTGAAAACCAGCACAAGACAAAGATGCTACTGTCTCTCACCATTCCTATTCAACATAGTATTAGAAGTCCTGGCAGGAGATTTCAGGCAAGAAAAAGAAATAAAGCACATCCAAATAGAAAGAAAAGAAGTCAAGTTATCCCTGTTTGCAGATGACATAATCCTGTATCTAGAAAACCCATCATCTCAGCCCAAAGCTCCTTGATCTGATGAACAACTTCAGCAAAGTCTCAGGAAACAAAATCAACATATAAAAATCACTAGCATTTTCATACACCAACAGCCAACCTGGGAACCAAATCAGGAACAGAGTCTCATTCCCAAATGCCAGCAAAAAATAAAACACCTAGGAATACAGCTAACCAGAGAGGTGATAAATCTCTACAAGGAGAAATACAGAACATTCACAAAGAAATCAGAGATGGCATAAACAAATGGAAAAACATTCCATGCGTATGGATAAGAAAAATCAATGGGATTAAAATGGCCACATTGCCCAAAGCAATTTACAGATTCAATGCTATTCCTATCAAACTACCAATGACACTCTTCACAGAACTGGATAAAACTGTTTTAAAATTCACAGGGAACTAAAAAACAGCCCAAATGGCCAAGGCAATCCTAAGCAAATAGAACAAAGCTGTAAGCAAGCATCATGTTATCCAACTTCAAACTATACTACAGGGATACAGTAACTCTGTTTTGTACCCAAACAGCATGGTACTGGTACAAAAATAGACACCTAAACCAGTGGAACAGAATAAATAGCCCAATAACAAGGTCACACACCTAAAACCATCTGATCTTCAACAAAGCTGACAAAAACATGCAATGGGGTAAGGACTCCCTATTCAATAAATGGTGCTGGAATAACTGGCTAATCATATGCAGAAGATTGAAACTGGACCCCTTCTTAACACCATATACAAAAATCTACTCATGGTAGATTAAAGACTTAAGTGTAAAACCCAAAACTACAAAAACCCTGAAAGATGACACAGGCTATACCACTCTAAACATAGGAACAGTCAAAGATTTCACAACAAAGATGCCAAAGCAATTGCAACAAAATCAAAAATTGACAAATGGGATATAATTAAACTAAAGAGTTTCTGCAAAGTAAAAGAAACTATCAACAGAATAAACAGACAACCAACAAAATGGGAGAAAATTTTTGCAAACTTTGCATCTGACAAAGGTTTAATATCAAGCATTTATAAGGAACTTAAACAAATTTACAAGAAAAAAAAATGATCCTATTATAAAAGTGTGCAAAGGACATGAACAAACACTTTTCAAAAGAAGACACACATGCAGCCAATAAGCATATGAAAAAAACCTCAATATCACTGATCATTAGAGAAATGCAAATGAAAATCACCATAATATACAATCTCATATCAGTTAGATGGCAATCATTAACAAGTCAAAAAAACAGGCTGGACACGGTGGCTCGCACCTGTAATCTCAGCACTTTGAGAGGCCTAGGTGGGTGAATCACGAGGTCAAGAGATCGAGACCATCTGGCCAACACAGTAAAACCCCGTCTCTACTAAAAATACAAAAAAATTAGCCGGGCATGGTGGCATGTGCCTGTGGTCCCATCTACTGGGGAGGCTGAGGGGGAAGAATCACTTAAACCTAGGAGTCAGGGGTTGCAGTGAACTGAGATTGCACCATTGCACTCCAGCCTGATGACAAAGCAAGACTTCCTCTCAAAAATTGTCTTTAAAAAAAAAAAAAAAAAAAAAAAAGCTTGTTTCGTTTTGTTTGGCATGTGTTTTTGATCTAATGGTTAAAGTCAGGAAGCAGTTTTGTAATCCAGATCACCACCTTGAAATGTGTTTCTTTGTAGAAAATCTTCAAAAGCTATTGTTAACCTTCCTATTTATAGAATTTGTTTTCAATGTGGAGAGTGAATCTTTCTGATATATTCTTAAAAATAATATTTAGTTGATACTAACTTTTAAAATTCATTACCATGTGTTGTGAATTTTGAATTAAGTTTTAAAATGAAAATCACAGTATTCTTTTTACATTCATGAAGGTTTTTAACATGTGGAACTAAACTTCTGTATCTTTGGACTTCATCACATACAAATTCTGTTCCTGGAACAGTTCCCAAAAAAGGATATGTCATGGAAAGAATAGTGCTACAGGTAATGGTACTTTTTGACATGTGCAGAGGTGTAAATTCACATTTCCTTATAAAATGTGTGTGCCTGTACCATAATTTTGGTTGTTAAAGAAACCTAATTGATCTTGTTTTAATCTCAGGATCTATCTTCTATTATATTATCAATATTTCTGAGAAGCAGTAAAATATGTACTGTGCTCATCCCAGTAAATATATATGTGTGTTGAGTATTACCAACAATGGTAATAAATTGCAAGAAGAAGCATTAATTTAATATTCAATGTAAATACACCCCGATTGTTAAGAAAAAGAAGTTAATGTGGCAAATGTGTAGACTAATTTGATCAACTTCTGTTAAATTTTAAAGGTTGATTTTCCTTCTCCTGCATTTGATATTATTTANAAAAAAAAAAAAAAAAAAAGTCAAAAAACAGGAGCTGGCGAGGTTGTGGAGAAAAAAAGAATGCTAATACATTGTTGGTGGGAATATAAATTAATTCAACCATTGTATAAAACAATGTGGCAATTCCTGAAAGACCTAAAAATAGAATTACCATTTGATGCAGCAATCTCATTACTGGGTATATAACAAAGGAATATAAATCATTCTACCGTAAAGAGACATGCACGCGTATGTTTATTGCAGCACTATTCACAATAACAAAGACATGGAATCAAACTAAATGCCCATCCATGGTAGATTGGATGAAAGAAAATGTGGTACATATACACCATAGAATAATCTGCAGACATAAAAAAGAACAAGACCATGTCCTTTGCAGGAACATGGATGGAACTGAAGGCCGTTATTTTTAGCAAACTAAAGCAGGAAGAGAAAAGCAGCTACCACATGTTCCTACTTATAAGTGAAAGCTATATGACGAGAATACATGGACACATAGAGCGAAGCAGACACTGAGGTCTATTGGAGAGTTGTGGGTGGCTGGAGGTAGACGGTCAGAAAAATAACTAATGGGCACTAAGCTTAATACCTGAGTGATAAAATAATCTGTAAAGTACTCCACGACACGTTTGCCTATCTAACAAACCTGTACATGTGCCCCAAACTTAAAGTGAAAGTTTAAAAACAGCATTGCATTTACGAAGGTTCATTTTTGAAAACATTCAATCTTTACAGAAAAAAAATTACATTTGATTACTACTTTGAATACAGTTACAAATCGTAAATAAGTAGCTAACACAGGTCAGAACGTAATTAAAAATATAATTCTAGTTTTTCCTAATGAGTTGTCTATCAAATAACTGAGTTGCTATCTTTATTGAGATATAATTCACAAGCCATAAAATTCAGCATTTGAAAGTATACAGTTCAGTTTTTTAGTATATTCAAAGGATTGTACAACCATCACTACAATCTAAATTTAGAATTTTTTCATCCAACCCAAAAGAAACCATGTGTCATTTAGCAGTCATCCCCCACTTCCACTAACTCCTACCACCCTAGCCTCTAGCAATAATGAATCTACTTCTGTTTCTATAGATTTGACTAATCTTGACAATTCAGATAAATAGAATCATATAGCCTGTGGCATTTTGTGACTGGCTTCTTTGATTTAGCACATTGTTTTTAAGGTTTATCCAGTTTGTAGCATGTATCAGCACCTCATTCTTTTTTATGGTTGAGTAATATTCCATTGTATAGATATTATCACATTTTGTTTTTCCATTAATCTTGACAGACATTTGTGTAGCTTTCAGTTTGGGCTATTATGCATTATTCTGCAACAAACATCCATGAAGAAGTTTTTATGTGTTTTTATTTATCTTGGATATATACCTAGGAGTGAAATTACTGGGACATATAACTCTATGTTCCATATTTTGAGGAATTCTCAAACTATTTTCAAGTGTCTGCACCCTTTTATATTCCCACAATGTATGAGGGTCACAATTTGTCCACATCATCCCTAACACTTTTTATTATCTGTCTTTTGATTATAGTCAACCCAGTTAGTATGAACTGGTATCTTATTGTAGTTTTGATTTGCACTTTTCTAATGACTAATGATGTTTAAGACCTTTTAATATGCTTACTGACCACTTGTATTTCATCTTTGCTGAAATGTCTAAGCAAATTTTTTGCTCAGTTTCTAACTGGGTTATTTTTTTATTATAGACTAGCAAGACAAATATTTTGAATGCAAGTCCCTTATCAGCTATTTTCTCCCACTCAGCAGGTTTTGTTCACTCTACTGATATAATCATTTTGAGAACAAAATATGTTTATTTTGATGAAGCGTACTGTATCAATTTGCAGTTTTGGTGTCATATCTAAAAACCACTGCCTGACTCAAAGTCACAAAGATTTACTCTTATGGTTCCTTCTAACAGTTTTATACTTTTAGCATACAGTATTATCAAACTGATTCAGGTGGAAAACACATGAATTAACCTTCTGCATAATTTCATCAAAACAACATAAATATACATACATTTGCACACACACAGCTATGTATGGCAGAAGTGCTTTAAACTTATGTAAGAACAGCATTTTACAAACTCCAAATTCTAGATAATGTGTATATGTGTGGAATGTTTACAACCAGCATGATACAATGTGACTCATTTTTCAATTTTCCATAAGTTTTGATTACTGCTTTCTGATTGTGTCATAAACTATTTCCCCCATTTGAGTCTTTAATTGCTAGGGGGTAGAAAAGGATCGCCTTTATAGTCATCCACAATGGATCATGGAAGGCTGCTTCTGTCCTAAAGTGATGGGAAGAAGATTGGTCTATACAAGAGATTCAGTCAGATTTGGGTTCTATTTCAAATTTTGCTATTTGTAATTCTCTGGGCAAATTACTTAATATCTCTGAACCTATTTAACTAAAAAATGGACTTATGAAGCCCATTTTTGATGGTTACTTATAAGTATCTTGCATTTGAAGAGATAACACATTTAATGCACTTAGCATGCAATCTGTCGTTAAACAAGTACTTTATAATACATCAGTCTTCCTTCTCCTCAAAACAATTTCCTACCAGGTATACCAGTAAAAACCAGCAGTATATTTTCCTATTTTCTACTATTGCAGGTTGAAAATCTTTGTCTAGCTTTGAAGGCATTTCCTACGTAGTTGGGCCCCAAATTCCAATATACTCTCTGTCATTATCTTCTCTAGGTATAAGCTACTCTACTGGGTTTTAAGACTGATAGTTTACAACCTCAAGGGCCTTATTATTTTTTAGAAAAAAATTAAAGAGACTACGAAAAAGGCATAATGTTGCAGTATCATAAGAGATACAAGCCAGTTACTTTGGGATTCAGAAAATGATGTACATTATGCAAATGGAGAAGTCAGAAAAATTTCTAGAGAAACAGTTAAGGTAAAAATTAAAATATGGTTAGGATTAAGGTAGAGTAACTCCTAAAATATTAGGGCTCTTTAGGTAAAAGAAACAATTATCATAAACATATGGACATGTGAAAGACAGGGCATATTTGCAGAAATACGGAGAATACAGATTCCTGATGTGTCTGAAATATAGATGACACATGGGAGTAAGTGGGATCCAGAGCACAGAAGGCACAAAATGATGGCTCAAGTGTGGACTTTGACAGGGGATGCACAGCTAAACAGAAACCAAGCATGATAAGAAATGTGTTCCAGGATGATCCTTTCTACAATAACATTCAAAATGATTTAGGTGGAGGCGTGTAAGCAGACTAGCAGTAGAGGAACAAGTTAGCTACTACAATATTCTAAATAAGGCTGACACTGTTGTATACCTCCCAGTAGTCATCATCCCCCACAGGGTTCTGCTAACAAAACCCTAATGCTGTTCAAGAATCTTGCAGGCAGCAACATGCTCAAGGAAAGTGGATCCTTCTCCAAGAGATAAAAATAAAGTGACCTAAGCCAGAGTTCAGTAGACTTTTGCCATAAATGGCCAGATAGTAAATATTTTAGGCTTTGTAAGCCATGGGGTCTCAGTCATAACTGGTCATTTATGTCACTGTAAGACAAAGATAATGATGGACAATATGGAAATAAATGAATGTAACTGCATTACAATAGAACTTAATTTGTGGACACCAAAATTCAAATTTCATATAATTTTCATGTGTCATAACATATTCTTATGACTTAACCATTTAAATGTAAAATCCCTTCTTAGCTCCTGGGCCATACAAAACCAGGAAGCAAGATGTATTTGACCCATGAGTTACAGATTGCCAATCCCTAATCTAAACCAACTGTCGCTACTCTAAACTCCTTGCCAGTTTATGTTTAGGGAGCAACTGGGTATGTGATGTGGTTCTGATCAATGGAATATAAGGAAAAGTCCACCAAATAATTTCTAGAAAAGGTTTTCTCATCTAATAAAAACAGATGTACAAGAAAAATAAAGTCACTGAAGTGTTTAGAGCTGAGCCAGCTATTTCTACATCCATGAGAGCAACACCAAGAGCACTACAGAGGAACACTGTAACTAATATACCAAGTGAAAGATGTAAGTATGACCAAAGCAGAATGATCACAGAATGAATAGGTCATGAAACAGCTGCTTCAAGATAAACCGTGGAGGTGGCACTGTTCCAATGGCTTCTACTTTAGAAGCCATGCAATGGAACATGATAAATTCAAATGTCAGGCATTGGAGACTGAAAGAAAAGGGGAATGATGCTACTTTTAAAAGAATAAAGGATGGTTTGAGTAGAAAATGAGTATGGTCTGAAACCTCAGGGAGACAGAGTGAGGTTCATAAAAAAGACTGCTGAGTAACAGCAAGGCTGAGTGTAGCTTGCTGGAATGTGAGGCAGATCATTTCACCTTGGTTCATAGCAAGAGTGTTTCTCAGCTCCTGGAGGTGTTAATGAAGCCATGGCAAGCAGTGATCACACATTCCATGTGACAGGATCAGCCTGCACCTCCTCCTGGCAGAATCTTGTCACTAGAGATTAGCAGGGTTGGATCTTGGGCTGATTCTGTTGCTCCAAAGTGCTGCTGCCTCATGTGGGTCACAGTAGGAAACCCTTAAAAAGAAGCAACTTCTGTGCCTCTGGTTCCATTTACTTCAAACTGACCAGATCAGTGACTTTCAGTCCGTGCTCCTGGGAGGCTTTGTGCTCAGTGATACCCTAGGAATTGCTGTGGCCAGCACTCACATTTCCAGTAAAGTGGCAAAAATATAAAATGTTAAAAAAAAAACCTGTATCAAATCAGAACTGTAAAAACAACAAAAAGTGATTCTGATACTTACTTTAAAAGATAGATTATTATCAAGAGGAGAAATAGCTTTAACTATTTGATACTCTACCTTGGGGAGTTAGAAGTAAGGGACAGGTCAGAATTTGGGGAGATTAAATTATGTATTTCTTCATACAGAAAAAAATCATAAAAACAGATGAAAGTGTAGACAAAGTCAATTAATCTACTGT